GACTGAGATTGAGGAACATCATTACTGATGTTAGAAGGATCTTGGCTGAAAGCAGAGAATACCAGAAAAAAATGTTTACTTGTGTTTTATTGACTATGCAAAGGCATTCAACTGTGTGGGCCTGTTCAAATATACTTTCTTTCTATCGTGGTTACAAATATCCTTAAATCAGAGCAAACTTTCCAGTGTGAAGGAATTACCTATTTAGTCCAAGATAGTATTTTAAGCCTACTTGTCTGGCTCCCTTTTACTACCAGTTACTGTAATGATGAAAGGAAGTATTTTGCTTCACTTTGCTGCTGGAACCTGAGTAATGTATCGAGGCCTTCAGAATTTACAGCCGTGGCTAATGCAGACAAAAGTAGAGGGAAGGAGAGGCCCGACAAACTTGCCATTCACTGTACTTGAAAAACATGCCACCCGGGAGCAAAGAGGTTTCTGGAGTGAGGCTCGAGGCCTGTCAAAACAAGAGTGTAAGCCTGTTAGAAGAGCTGGGAGGGCCACAACCACAGTGAACTGCAGCAATTGACATTTGTACATAGGGAAGTATAAGCTCAACTTAAAATACATAGCTATTATTACTGAACGAAAAGGAGTGAGAAATCAATGTCACATTCAAAATTCAAGCCTCTAGTTACAAATGGAAGCAATGGGCAAAATAGGAGCCCTGGTGGTGTAGGGGCTGATTACGCTGCCAACTGCAAAGTCAGCACTTCAAAACCACCGGCCAGTCCACAGGAACAAGTGAGGGTCTTTCCTCCAGAGCAGCAGTTCTCAACCTTCCTTATGCTGCAACCCTTTTATACAGTCCCTCATGTCGTGGTGACACCCCCCCCCCACCATGAAATTATTTTCGTTGCTACTTCATCGCTGTAATTTTGCTACTGTTATGTATCGGGTGACCCCTGTGAAAGGGTTGTTCGACCCCCAAAGGTTGAGAACCGCTGCCCTAGAGTTTAGTGTGGGAAACTCTCAGGGCAGGTCTACCCCGTCCTATAAGGTTGTTATGAGTCGGCATTGACTCAATGGCAGTGGGTATTTTTTTTTTTTTTTGGATGAAGCTACGGACATAATTTATTAGAAGTGGCAGAAGCGTGAGATGATGTACCATCAAACAACGGCTTGATTTTACAAGAGAGGCCGGCCGGAAGTTAGCAAGGTACAGTGTGGTCGGCAGAAAGGCAACAAAAAGAGAGGTTCACGGGTTTTTGTTTTGATTTGGGGGTAGGGGGCAGGTGGATGACACTTAGACTTGTCCTTAAAAAAAAACAATGAAAATGGGGGGGGAGGGGAATGAAAGAAATGGAGACAGGAGGGGCCCAGAGACCAGCCTGATTTGCGAAATTAGCATCAGAATGGCAGTGGGTATTTTTAATGAGCAAAATATTAAATGATGCAGGTAGCATCAAAAGAAGAAGAAAGAATTGAGTCGCTGTACTTAAAAGAATTAGTCGACATTCAGCCATTTCAGGAGGTAGCATATGAGCAAGAACCAATGGTATTAAAGACGTCCAGCTGCACTGAAAGCATTCACCCAAAATAAGGCTCCAGGAATCTGATGGAATACCAATTGAGATGTTTCAACAAGCTGGTGAAGCACTGGATACACTTATTCATCTATGCCAGGAAATTTGGAAGACAGCTACTTGAACAACTGACTGGAAGAGATCCATATTTGTACCCATTCCAAAAAAAGTGACCCAACAGAATGCTCAAACTATGGAACATTGTCATTGTTATCACATATAAGTACAGCGTTGCTAAAAATCACCTAATAATGGCTGCAGCAGTACGCTGCCAGGGAGCTGCCAGAGATTCAGGCCAGTTTCAGATGAGGACATGGAACAAGGGACATCATTGCTGATTGTGTTAGGCCCGGTTGACTAGAGAAATCCAAGGACACTCATTTGTGTGTATGAGAGAGCTTTATATCAAGAATTATGTATCGATGAAACATCCCAGCCCAGTCTAACTCAAGTCCCTAAGTCCGGTAATAGTCCCTAAGTCCGTCTTTAGACTCACAAAGCCACATGCAATGTTGCAGAATGCAGGAACATCACTGGCCAGTCAGTGCAGTCTGTGGATTCAAAGGCAGTGGATGCATGTCCAGGACTAGAGCAGGTCTCCATGTGGTGTCAACAAGAACACAAAGGCAGAGAGCGGTGGGGAGGTTCCCAGGACCCTTGTTAGGAGGTTACACCCACTAGGAAGCAGGATCAGGCTGTGACCTGATTGACAGGCTAGACTCCACCACTACACTTCAAGTTGATAAGAAATTATGTTACTACCACACTGATGTCAGATGGATCTTGGCTCAAAGCAGAGAATACAAGAAAGACACTCCCTTGTGTTTTATTGACTCTGCCAAGGCATTCGACTATGTGGATCATAACAATGGATAGGCTTAAGAATGGGAATTCCAGAACATTTCTTTGTGCTCCTGGGAAACATGTACATGGATCAAGAGACAGTTATGCGAACAGAACAAGGGAATACTGCATGGTTTAAAATCAGGAAAGGTGCTGCGTTAGGGTTGTATCCTCTCACCATACTTATTCAATCTGTATGCTGAGTAAATAATCAAAGAAGCTGGATTATATGAAGAACAAAGCATCAAGATTGGAGGAAAGCTTATTAACCACTTGTGATATGCAGATGACAGTAACCTTCCTTGCTGAAAGTGATGAGAACTTGAAGCACTTGCTGATGAAGATCAAGAATTGCAGCCTTCAGTGTGGATTACAACTCAATGTAAAGACCCAAATCCGCACAATTGGACCAATGGGTAGCATCATGATAAAACAGAAAAGACTGACATCAGGATTTAATTTTGCTTGGATCCACAATCAATACTCATGGGGGCAGTGAAGAAATCAAACAATGCACTGCATTGGGTAAATCTGCTAGATGAGCCCTCTTTCTTTAAGCATTTTATTGGGGGCTCATACAACTCATCACAATCCATACATACATCCATTGTGTCAAGCACATTTATACATTTGTTGTCATCATTCTCAAAACATTTGCTTTCTGCTTGAGCCCTTGGTATCAGCTCATTTTTTTCCCTCCCTCCCTGCTCTCCCCTCTCATGAACCCTTGATAATTTATAAATTATTATTTTGTCATATCTTATACTGTCCAACATCTCCCTTCACCCACTTTTCTGTTGTCTGTTGTGTCCCGGCCTGCGGGACGCACGAGCAAGGCCCTGCGGGGAAAGACGAACCTGGATGGAGAAAAAAAGACACGGGGACGCGGAGCAAGACAAAACTCTGATCAAGCTCATTTATTTGGGCAAAGCTGGGGTATAAAAAAGGGGGAACTGGGAGGTGCATATTTTAATAAGGTGTGCGACACAGCATCCAATCCAACAGGTACATTAATGAAGCGTAAGAACGTAAACCAATCAGCTGTAGGTAAAAGGGCGCGCGCTAGTTCTCAAAGACGTCCTGCATGCAGATTAAGGTCCATCAGGTGTAAAAGCAAAGTCCATCTTAGTCCAATGAGCGCCTGGCATTATTAACCAATGGGTGAAAAGGTCAACTTTACAACTGCCCCTGCTACAGAGCCCTTAGCTAGGAACGCGAGGCAGGAATTTAGGCAGGGCCAGTTCCCACAGATTTAGCAAATGAAAGACACACTTAACAACCAGGAAGCAGCCAACTTCGGCTCGTGGCTGAGGCTAAGGCCTTCATGGCCACCGGCTCCCAACAGTTGTCCATCCCCCAGGGAGGAGTTTATATGTAGATCCTTGTAATCGGTTCCTTCTTTCCACCCCACCTTCCTGGTATCACCACTCTCACTACTAGTCTTGAAGGGATCATCTGTCCTGGATTTCCTGTTTCCAGTTCCTGTCTGTACCAGTGTACATCATCTGGTCTAGCCAGATTTGTAAGGTAGAATTGGGATCATGATAGTGTGGGGGGTGGGGGTGGGGCGGCACGGGCGGGGCAGAGGGGTAAGCATTTCGGAACTAGAGGAAAGTTGTGTTTCATTGTTACTACACTGCACCGATTGGTTCATCTCCACCCTGTGACCCTTCTGTAAGGGGATGTCCAGTTGCCTACAGATGGGTCTTGGGTCCCCAATCTTCATTCCCCCTGGATCACAATGATTTTTTTTGTTCTTCGATGCCTGATACCTTGTCCCTTCAACAACTCATCCCTTTGACACCTTGTGATCACACAGGCTGGTGTATTTCTTCCACGTGGGCTTTGTTACTTCTGAGCTAGATGGCCGCTTGTTTATCTTCAAGACTCCAGATGCTATATCTTTTGATAGCCAGGCATCATCAGCTTTCTTCACTACATTTGCTTATGCACCCATTTGTCTTCAGCTTTTGTATGGGGAAGGTAAGCACACAATGATACGATTTTTGATGAGCCCTCTTTAAAGCATTGTAGAGCAAGGATGTTACTCTGAGGACTACTGTGTGCCGTGGTATTTTCAATGGCCTCATATGCATTATCAAAGTTGGACACTGACTAAGACTGAAGAATTAATGCGTCTGAATTATGGTACTGGTGAGGAACACTGAAAATACCACTGACTGCCAAAAGAACAAACAAATCTGTTTAGCAAGGAGTACAGCCAGAATCATCCTTTGAAGCGAAGATGGTAAGACTGTCTCATGGCCTTTGGACATGTTCTTAGGAGAGAAGAGTCCCTGAAAAAGGACATCATGCTTGATAAAGTACAGGGGCAGGGAAAAGAAGCCCCTCGACAGGATGGACTGACATGGTGGCTGCAGGGTGGGCCTGAACATAACAGCAATCACGAGGCTGGTGCAGCACCAAACGGTGCTTCCTTTGGTTGTCACGAAGAAGACTGTGGAACCCACTGCATGGCACCTAATCACATGTACGTGAAATAGAGAACTGTGTGGACAACTAGGGAATAGCAGCACACAAATACACACGTATGATATATTTTTATCTACAAAGCTATAGACTTGGATGGATAGAAAGGGTTCTGAAAAGACCTTAGTTTAAGACTAGAAGTACTTAATTTTTTCTTTTTATTTTCTGTATTAAAAGTTTTCAAACATTAGCCACAGTAAACCTAGAAGAATTTGAGAAGAATCCCTTCTCAAATCTTTTGGATTTAAAAATTATCTTTAGTCAATATTATTGAGCCAGATATTTTTATCAAGAAGGAAATGCATGTATAGTACTTTAAATTTTTGACTAAAAGAAAAAGAAGAAAACGAAAAATCTGAGGTAAGAGGGCACAAATCATTGAAGTATTTATTAAAGCAGAAAAACAAAACCTTATCAAAATTACTATAATTAGAAGTATAAAGTAAATGAATGCAAACTCCAGTCATGTACCAATAGTGACTTGTCCTCAAGGTCTTAACAATTCAGTAATAATAAAATGGCAGAATTCTTTCATCTTACCACATCATTATTATCACTATTCTACCACATATTACCTCAGACAGGTTTTAGTCTGGAAGCCAGTTCATCTATCAGTATAAAAAAAACCCTAGTTTATAACAAAATGTCTTGTTCAAGTTTTTAAACACATTTTAGAGCTAAACACAATTCTTAGAGAATCAATTTTTTTTCTTTTGTCCTTGCCAAGGTAAATTTGGGTATAGACAATTGACAGATTAAAAATTATTGGAATGAGGGAACCTGTCAAAACATGTTCACGTCTGAAAGGTTTTAAACAGGACTATACATCTCTAATTTTTGCTCGCCTTAATGGTATTTTAAAAAGCTTATTAAAATTAAGAAAATAAATCTAGATCACAGAAGAAGATAATTTCAACCGAGAGAAAATATCAATCCTGGTTAAGGTCATCAGGGAGGGAGAAAGGCCACACACTGTGGACAAAGATTACTGGAACCAGTTGGTGGTTTGACAGCATTAAGCTCTCCACCCTGCAAAGGGACGAGCTGGTCCAGGAGTGACCAACTAGTTTGTTGAGAGGCAGTGGATGACGTCAGTGAAGAACTGCGCTGATGTTCTTCCACAGAGTAATTTTTTTCTGCCACTGTTTTAAGAATGTCCAGCTGACTCTGGGCATGAGCATGAACATTAGTTTATTGATGTTTCCACTGTTAAATCTCACCTTTCCATGAATAGCATTTTGCGTAGACACTGGATATCAAAAGGCTGCCTGTATGCTGCACCTGACATTGTACTGCTACAGCGTTTTCATGAAAAAAGCTGCCTGGTCACATAAATTGCTTCTGCGTCAGTCCCACACACGAGGCAAGAGCCCAACACATCCAAACTGTTCACGGACAGAGTCTTCGTGGGGAGCAAGCTGGTGATTTCCATGCGGTCTTTCGCAGGGTCAGCACTGAGCCAGGAAGTGAGGAGAGAAGGGTGCGCAGCAGCCTGGTTACTAATGCTGTGAGCCAACAAGGGACTGTTCCTTCCTCCTGGGAAGAAAAAGAGAGAATAAAAGAAAAATAAATCCTTTCAAGACTTAACTTTATATTAGTACACACCTAAAATCCCAGATACATGTTAGAAAGGTAGTGATTTAAATCTATTAATCTCTTTAAAAAACAAACCAAAGTTTTATTAATATATAATTCACATTGAATGTATTAATTTCTGAGGATAACAAACCACTAATTCCATTATCACACACCACTCACAAATTTTTGTTGTAAAACATATACAACAAAAAAATTTGCCGTATTTTAATCATTTTAAGCATACAATTCAGTGCCGTTAACACACTCAACATACTGCGCAGCCACCATCATGATCTACTTCCAAAAGATTTCCCTCACCCTAGACTCAGTACCCATTAAGCAGTGGCTCCCCTTTTGCCCTCGTGGTAAGCACTAGTAAATTTTGTCATTATGTATTTGCCTAATCTAGTTAGCTCATGTTAAGACATGCCATTATTTTTTTATTAAAAGTTTATTCGGTAATATTAAATATCCAAATTTCCATGGGATAATCTGAATTTCAAAGTTAAAGTCTTTAGGGAAAGCAGATTTAATTTTCTGGTCATTCTTCAATGGAAAATCTCAGAAATGTGCCAAAATGACCAGAAGCCAAGTAGAATAAAAGGAAACAAACAAACAAACAAAAATTCGAATAATATATATAAACTCTTAGATAATAAAAAATTAAGTAAGCATGAATTTCTAAACACTTAGTCAAGTCTAAAATACAACCAGCTTGCTTTAAACCTTTTCACATAAACGCTCCTAGAAACAGAACTTCAGCAACTTTTATCTTTACAAGTGCTATGCATTTACTAAAGAATTAAAGTCAGGCAGGAGCGGTATATTTCAATGTTGGTTACTATTTGCAATTTTCTCCCTACTCAACTTTCTGCATTTTCACCTAAGGGTCGATTTTATTCATTCAATAAACATCGGAGCAGCTGCTCTGTGCCAGGCTCCGTGGCAGACTCCAAAACATGAATACAAAACAAAGGTCCTGCTGTCTGGAAGCTTAAAGATTAGTGGGTTTAAGTCTTATTGATTCTTGAAAGCTCATCAGCTCAACTCAGCTGCCTTCTCTAAGAAGCCTTTGAAACCTCTAGGCCGCATTTCTCTCTTCCTTCCTTGAATCCTCAGTATTTGTCTATATCATTAATGTAGTACCTTTCAGCGTACATTATAATTTAGCTTTGGATGTCCCTTTGCTGTAATGAAATTATAGGATTCTGAAGAGCAGGGTCGATTGTTTTACATTTGTTGCATCTTTACAGTGTCTATTTCTGGGCCTTGTAACAGACACAGGTTACAGTGCATGGTTTATTTCCAGTACAACTAAAGTTCCCTAAACTGCAACATTTCAAGTGCAAGATGAGGGAGAGGACGGAAGTAGACACCAAATACCGAGCTACTGCTTAAATGAACCCATTGGTTTCTCCATAAATGAAGTCAGCAGAGACGTCCCTGCACGGTACACACATTTCCAGCATTTTCCTGAAGACACTTTAAGAACTGTGTCATAGTTGTTTCGTTCTCACTGTTCCTACATTCCCCACTGTTCTGGAATACTGTGAAAACCAGAGGGGAGCCCTGTGTACAGACTCTGGTCTACCTGCTTCCACAGTTCCATCCTCCCCACGGGCCAAGTCCATGCTCCACACAGTAGCCAGAGGGATTCTTTAGAAATCTAAGTCAGAGGGATCACCATGCCCTCACTCTATGATCAAAGAACCAAATCAAACTGACTGCCATCAGGTTGATGGCAGCTCTAAGAGACAGGGTAGAATTGCCCCTGTGGGTTTCCAAAACTCACGCTGTAAAGTAGTAGAAAGCCCCATCTTACTCCCGAGGAGTGGCTGGTGGTTTAGAACTGCTGACCTTGTGGATCACAGCCCAACTCATGACTGCTATGCCACCAGGGCTCCAAACTCTACCATACCTAGAATACAATCTAATCTTCTATGACCCCTGTACCTCAGTTAACTCTGCTGACCCACTACTCCCCCACCTCACTAACAAAACGGCAGTTCCACTGGCCTCTGTGTTGTTTGCTACCTGTCTCAGGACTCTGGTATGTGGTTTCCTCTGCCTGGAATGCTTTCATGTGGCTTATACCTGCACAGCCCCCAAGCCTAGGCTCAAATATTGTCTCCACCCTTAATTTTTTTATCTTCTAACTCGTGGCTTTACCTTTAAAGAAACAAACAAAAAGCAAAACAAAGCATTTTACTGTGCTCTGGGTGAAAGTTTAGAGCAAATTAAGCTTTGCAGTCAACAATCCACACATACTTTGTGTTGCGATATTAGCTGCAATTCTCTCAACGTACTCACACCTCACACTCTTTCTACTTCCCCCTCAGCTTCCCCGTGTCAATGTGCCCGTCTTTCCTGCTGTCTGAGGCAAATGCTTCCCTTTTGGTCTCCCAGAGTTGACTGGTCTGAGAAGCACTCTTCTCCGAGTTGCATTCTTTGGGGCTGTCCCTGCCTCTGTCGGGCCAGCCTGGACTCTTCCTTTCACTTCCCTTTCCAAATTCTCCGTCCTCTATTACGTATTAAAACGGGGAGTCTGCAGATACCATTTTCCAGGCTCCCTCACCACCCAATTTCCAGATGGGCCCTACTAAGGGAGGGACGGATGGCTGGATAGACAGCACGGGAAGGAGAAGCAGCCCTCTTACTACTCTGGGGTTTTGGCAGTGGCAGGGTTGGCAGTGGTTCCAGTGCTGGCTGATCCCAAGGCAACAACTTCCAACAGTGTATTAGCAGCGGGGGCTTTAGCAATTCTTTTATCTTCCAGTTACCCTTTCTTCCTATTTTCTCTTCTAGCATCTTTTGGTCTCTCCGAAAACAAAACCTAAACCTAAACTAAATCAAACCAAACTCACTGCTGTCTAGTCTATATAGAGGCTCTATAGGGCAGGGTAGAACTGCCTCTGTGGGTTTCCGAGACTGAAAATCTCTAAAGAAGTAGAACGCCCCATCTTTCTCCCACAGAGCAGCTGGTAGTTTCAAACTGCAGACCTTGCACTTCACGTCTCAACCGGTAGGTACTCTGCCACCAGAGCTCCTTTTGGTCAAAATCTGTGGTAGTTTCTGTTTCCCGATTGGACTCTTACTGACACTTTATCACTTTAATCATTAGATGGAGCATTTTAAGCTGAGGTGAAACTAGCAGCCCAATACATAAAGATGGCCGCTCGTGCCAGACACCCTGTCTTGGCAATGCGAGATAAAGAGTTGCCCGTGCCTGTTCTATGGCAGGAAGGCCAGTGCGAACACACAAGCAGCAACCTTGGCTGTCCTCAAAGAATGCCATCACTGCTCCTGAACGGTACAGGTAGAAATGGCTCAATTGGTTCATGCTTTGTTGTGTATATTCTTGCAACAACAACAAAAAAACAACAAATAAACTAGTTAAAAACACAATTAGAAAGCATGTGAGGCTAGCCGACTTACATCATTTCTAATCCTCAGCTGTAGAGCAGAGAGGACCTGACTGTCAGATAACTCAAGGCCTACGATACCAGCATTTACCCTGCGGCAGAAGAATGAAAACATTGTGCCATTCTTTAAGCTTAAAATGCAAAGAGCTTTTATTATCATATTTAGGATTATACCATCACACACAACCCAAGGCTTTTCAGTGAGCCATTTGTTACCTTGGTGAAAGAGGGATGACTTTTCAGGTACGTCTGTGGAGGAATCCCAGTGCCAGAGGGACCCGTCTTCAGAACAAGTAAATAAGTGGTCTGGGTTGGATGGGTGGAAGTGAACTTCCCACACTGAAAGACAAGGACAGTGAAGCTTATTCCTATGCAGATGGTGGGCCTGTCTCGGGAATCACCTGATACTACTTTTATGGCAGACCCTCAAACTACAAGTCTGTTATGGAAATCAGTCTCATTCATCTCTCCAAATGACCACCACACATAAGGATAAAGAATCAAGTAATATTTGTGTATTGAAAATAGAATGAAAATAATTGCTTAGTATTTGATCTATTATCTTTTTTTAATGGAAGATTATGAGGGATAGTTTTGAGGGAGATTCCTCAAAACTAGTCTTAATTCCTGTGCGATTCACATGTGAAAATTCTGTGTGTGGACAGACCAAGAGAGAAGCTCGTGGAAGGCACATACACATAATTTCTAAGAGTCCAATTATGACTCATACCAGGACCCTGGGTTCCTCTGGCCTGTATCACAGAAATAGCTCCTCAGTCCTAGCAGGAAGCCTGGAAATGCTCCAAGGATCAGGATCCAGTTTCAGATCAAGGGCTTTTAAGAAGCTAAATTGTGACTGGGGCTCCCCTCCAAGTCGTACACTTCAAGGGAACTGTGAGTGGTCGTAGATCTGTAGGAGCCCACTAGTAGCCAGGGTACACGAGGGAGGACGTGAACAAGTGTGCTGTGCTTCTGGGCTAGAGGGCCTTGAAGAATCAGCACAGAAACGAGATAAGGTGTGGCATACGGCGAGCAGCAGGTTTTTAGGTGGCTCTTTTCATTCTGACAGTGCAGGACTAAAACCACGTCACTTTCCTCAGGAGGAGAGCATGCTCTGGCAGGTCCCTGAGTGAAGTACACTGAGGTGGCTTCCCTAGAGAAAACTGCACTTAAACAACCTGGGAGAGCCACGAGAAGATTGCCCAATGCTAGATTTCTATGTATCTATTTATTTTTAAATAAAAAAAGCAAGCCCCCTACAAAACAGCTTCTTTTCATTCTAGCCACAAGTCAGGATGCATTCAAAGCCACACATCAATGGCCACTGCATTCTGCTTGGGCTGGTATATCTATAATTCTACCACCACGTGGGTGGCCAACATCAGAACCTGTCAGGGCACACCTTGCTCCTGCTTTCTTTTCCCTGGGGAGAGCTGTACCAGGGAGAGAGACTCCATTTTAGAACCTGCTGTTTGCTTCTTGCATATGAAGTCATGATTTTTCTATGGTAGCAATGTGAAACTTACATAATCAGAAAAATCTCAATTTGGGTTCAATGTTTGCGCTTTGGTACTTTGACTCACATGGATTTACCACAAGCTACTCTTAATCAGATTTTGGCATGACATCAAAGACAGAAATGATAAACTGAAAAATTCCTACCCAATCAAAAAAACTTCCCAACAAAACCGAAAGATAAAAACAAACAAACAACAACAAAAAACGATCTGAAAACACTTCAGAAAAAGACAACTGTCTATATAAAGGGCTTCATAAAATTCATGAAAAAATTCCATTATTTTTTCTTTCCATTTGCCCACAACACTTTGAAAACCCTGTATTGTTCTTCTTTTTTTTTTTTTTTAAACATTTTATTAGGGGCTCATA